AGGCCCGCATGGCTACAAAAGGTAAATGGGCACAGACCAAAACTTTAACATCTGCATCTAATGCACTGAGAAGATATGAGTTCAGTTCCAGATAAGGAAAGTTATTTCCCTGAGTGTGTCCTGTCTGCTGGGATTCTGTAGTCCAATCAGCCAGTGTTGGCCCTAACAGACAGGATCAAAGCAGCCCGCCTCTAAAAAGAATTTACTTGTGCTGATTACTTTTTACAAGTCATGGAGTTAAACATTTTTAACATTCAACTTGTTTTTCTTCTTCCGAGAGAGGGGCAGGCTGAAGGTGGATCTGTTTGTCATGCAAGAATGCTCAGTCTAATATTTTATAATAATGACTGCAGTCGGTCTACAAGTGTCTCACAAAAAGATTTTCTGTCTTGTCAACTCATCAGCTTGACGTCATGTCCGGGAAGATACAGATCTACAGTTATCTGAAGAGACTGTCTGGTCGCACAGCCTTTTTCTCTGACGGCTCCTCGGTAAATGAGATTGATGCCATCGTTTTCTGCACCGGATACGACACTGATTTGTCCATGCTTGAGGATAACATCATTGATGGTTAGTTGGGGACTTCCGTCTTCTGAAAAGGGAAGGGCACCCTTATCCCACCCCGCCTTCCCCTCTAAATTTATTACAATTTTATCTTTCCCCTCTCTCTTTCCAATACCCATAGATTGAGTTGAGATTGTATTGAGAGAATGTTGTACATCTTTGTTCTTGCTACTGGAACCGACCTTCATTTAGATGCACACAGCCCCCCCCCCCCTCCTTTTTAACCACAAATAGGTTATTCATAGAGGAACCAGCTATATGTAATATGTCAACGTTGTGTCCTTGGGAAAGGTACTTTACACGAATTTTGCCCACTTCACCCAGGTGAAAATGGGTACCCAGCTATAGACAGTGAAAGATCTTGTCAGTTGGTTAGTGTTTGAGCGCTTAACCAGCTGCTTGCACTGTATGTTTCGCGGGAAGCTGAGAATGTTTCTGAGTGTTCTATAGTCTGCTGGGGTAATAATAGAGTGTAAA